GCCCCTGCCTAGAATCCCCCAGTGAGGGGCTGGGGTGTGGCTCAGTGGTAGAGCCCCTGCCTAGAATCCCCCAGTGAGGGGCTGGGGGCATGGCTTAGGGTAGAGTGCTTGCCTAGCATGCCCAGGCCCTGGATTCGATCCCCAGCTTTGCAAAGAAAAAAAAAAAGTCTAAAAATACTCCCTTTATTATAGACTTCTGTGAGGATTTAAAGCCAAATGATCTGGGGCCAGCGAGAGGAGTCAGCAACCAAAGGGGCTTGCTGTAAAGGCCTATGACCTTTGATCCCTGGAACCCATGTGAAGGTGAAAAGAGAGAACAGACTCCATAGAGTTGTCCTCTGACCTACACATGTGTGCTGTGGCGTGCATGTCCTCCATTGTGCGTGCACACATCCTTGAACTCACAGAGATCCACCTGCCTCTGCCTCCCAAGTGCTGGGATTAAAGGTGTGCGCCACCACTGCCTGGCTAATGATAAATAATTTCTTCAAGTCAAGTGATCTAAAGAATATGGGGCTGGAGAGACGGCTCAGAGGTTAAGAGCACTGGCTGCTCTTCCAGAGGTCCTGAGTTCAATTCCCAGCAACCACATGGTGGCTCACAACCATCTGTAATGAGATCTGGTGCCCTCTTCTGGCCTGCAGTCATACATGCTGTATACATAATAAATAAATAAATCTTTAAAAAAAAAAAAAAAAGAATACACACAGGACAGGGAAGGAGGGAAGGGTCTATCTCATGGTAAACATCATAGATGTTATTACCAAAGAGTTCTCTCCTGGGTATTTTCTGAGTCCTAAATTCTTTTGTGTGAAGGGACACTGCCCTGCCACCCATTTAGACAATAGCCTCTGAGACAAATTACGTGTTTAATCCAATGGCCTCCAGACTTCCTCCATCTGCGGGTACTCCGGAAGGCGCTCTGCCTACATGCTTCTTTGTCATGCTGAGATCGGTAAAGTCTACTTGTGACTCTCAAAAGTCAACTTCAGTGCAGCCACTGACGGTGACACCTGTGTCTATAATCCCAGCACTCGGAAAGCTGAGACAGGAGGATTGTGAGTTTGAGGTTCATTGTCTTTAATCCCAGTTCTCAGGTGGCAGAGGCAGGAGGATCTTTGTGAGTTTGAGGATAGCCTGGTCTACATAGTGAGTCCTTGTCTCAAAAGAACCAAGCCAAACCAAGAGCACTGGCTGTTCTTGCAGAGGACCTGAGTTTGGTTGCCAGCACCCATGTGGTGTCACACAATCATCCATAACTCCAGTTCCAGGGGATCCAATGCCCTTTTCTGACTTATTTAGGCTCCAGGCAAGAATGTGGTACACAGATGTACAGGCAGGCAAAACACCCATATGCATAAAATTTTAAAATCTTAAAACAACACCTACAAAAGACCATCCACATAGCAAAAGGCCAGAGATTTGCAAACTGGCAGGTGTGTTCATGTGGCCTTAAAAAAAAGAGAGAGAAAGAAAAAAAAGGTATTAGAATTTGAATGAGTTGCTAACATTCATAATCAAGGGATTTTACAAAACAATCCAGGCTTCCAAAGTCTCTTGCAATTTCACCATCTGGTGTGTCATGCCCGCCTGCCTCGTGGCAGCTCCGGGCTGGAGTGAAATCCTGGTGAGGGATACTCTCATGGGGCCCACTGGCGGCTCATAAAGTTGCCTTAGTGATTCACTACTGGCTGTGCGTGGGGAAGAAAAATGAAGAACTCGTAAGTTGAATCTACCCATGTATGTTTGGTGGGACTGGATAGGGTCATGTGCGTACTTGTGCATGTGGTAAGGATGATTTGGGTAAGGTGTGTCCGAAGAGAATCTTGAATACTCCACTCTAATTTGATGCCAGCCCAGCGTGAGTCCCCCTCAAACCCTCCCCCACTTTCTCCTAGGCATTCCGGCAGGAGCCCAGTGAACTTGGGCTTGGCTGTAGAGAGTCACATGTCTTCCTGTGGTCTGATAAGGGGGTGGCAGAGCCCATACATGCATCCCCAAAGCCCCTCACCTTTCAGGCCTGTTTTCCCGCTCATAGCATTTCTAAATGAGGATGGTGTGCATTAGCCAGGTGTGGTCACACACACTCATAATTGGCGCCCTTGGGCAGAGGCAGGAGGATCAGAAGTTCAAGGTCGTTCTTGTCTATACATTGGGTTCAGATATAGCCTGGGTAACATGAGACCAAGTCTTAAAAACTAGCCAACAGAGCTAGGGAGAGGCTCAGTCTGGCTTGTAGTCCTAATGCCTGGGAGGCAGAGTCAGGCAGATCCCAGGTGTGTGTGTGTGTGGGGGGGGGGGGCGGCTTGCTGGCTAGTCTGCCCAGTTTACTCTACCTATTTTGGGCCAATGAGAGACACTGTCTCAAGAAAACAACAACAACAGCAGCAAGGGAAAAAAGAAAAAGAAAAAACAAGGTGCGTGGGAGGGCTGATGGGTCAGCAGTTTTGAGGGCAGGGGTTCAGTTCCCAGCACCTACATGGTGGCTCACAACCATCTGAGTTCCAGAGGCTCCAACACCACTTTCTTGCCTTTGCTGGCAGCAGGCATGTACATGGTACACAGACACACATGGAGGCAAAACATCATGCATATAAAATTAAAAAAAAAGAAGAAAGAAAAAAGAAGGAAAGATCAAGGCTCCTGAGGAATAACACTCAGTTTCCTCTGACCTCCTCATACACGTGTGCACTCACGTCACGTACACACAATAACAAACAAATAAAAACAGAAAAGGCGAAGGCACGTGTAGGGGGCCTGTCATCCATCCCTCTTGGGTCCTGGGCCCTAGGATCCTTGACCGAGCCCCCAAGTTCTCAGTCTCTGACCCCTGCTCTCCTCTCTTGCCCATCCAGGAGAACCCGTACGTCATGCGCCGGCCCAACTTCCAGGCCTTGTCAGGGAACGAGCGCTTCGAGGGGTTCTGCGTGGACATGCTTCGGGAGCTGGCCGAGCTGCTGCGCTTCCGGTATCGCCTGCGGCTGGTGGAGGATGGACTGTACGGGGCGCCTGAGCCAAATGGCTCCTGGACAGGCATGGTTGGCGAGCTCATCAACCGGGTATGGCTGGCCGGGGGCTGGGGAAGGAGGAAGGGAAGGTGGGGCCAGATGAGCACAAAGCAAAAGAAATAGGCAAAAGGTTGATGGTGTGCTAGTTACCTTTGCCCCGTGTGTCTCGGGGCCAGGTAGGAGAAGCATGGCATTGTGTTACCGCCTGTGTTTTTGCCAGACGCTCCTCTTACGCTCAGAGGTTTGATGAGTGAATGACTGTGACCTGGGGTAGGAGTCAGGTAGGAGCCTGAAGTCGTCAAGAGAAGCTTCCGGTAGGAAGCAAGGCCAAGAGCGAGGACTGCTCTCTGCCCAGCACCATCGGGGAGGCCTGGCACACTTCAGACCCCAAGAGTTGTCTTCTGGGCCTGGGAATGTGGCCCAGTTGGTGGAGTGCGCGCATAGCGTGCATGAGGCCCCGGGTTCAATCCATTTGAAGCAGGTGTGATGGTGCATGCCTGTAATCCCAGCGCTTGAGAGCTGGAGGCAGGAGCATTCAAGGTCATTCTTCGTTCCATTACAAGTCTGAGGCCAGCCTGGGTTATGTCACCTGAGACCTTGTTGAAAAACCAACTAAACAGAAAAACAGAGCTGTCTGTTGACGCCCACCTTTCCTCAGTAGGTGTTTGTGGAGCACCTACTATGTGCCTTGCTCTGTGAGATCCAGTGAGCAGAGACCTTGCCCCCAAGAACTTAGAGTCTTGTTAGGGTCGAGAAAGCAAGCGACCACAGTGGTTTCTGATGGAGAGGCCCAGAGCAGACTCCTGACTCTAACTCAGTGCTCAGGGTCTCCGCAAAGAGATGCTGCTGCCTGAAGTGTTGAGTCTGTGTGTGTGTGGGGGGGGAGCTGACAGGAAGTCAGGTTCTGGGGACACATCTGTCATCTGATCATATGGAAGGCCGAGAGGGAAGATCATAGGTTTAATGCTAACCCAGGCTGCAGGGCAAGACCCTGTCTCACAAAAACAAACAAACAAAACACCTCACAGTGGCACACACCTGTAATCACAGCAGACAGGGATCCGAGGCAGGAGGATTACCAATGCCAATCTCGTGGTGAGTTTCAGACCAGCCAGGGCTACACAATGAGACCCTGTCTCAAAAACCACCCCCCTCAAAAAAAGCAAAGGCATGAAGAAGTCGGGAGGTGAGGGAGGTACTGAGGAGCAAAGGGAACATCACTTACAGAGGTGGAGCCCTCAGACTGATGCATTCTGGGTGAGCCAGCTGGGCCTGCCAGTGCGTGGGAAGTGCTTGGATGAAGGTAAGGAGGGAGGAGAGGCAGGCAGCGAGAGGTGGGAGGCAAGGGCACAGTGGAAAGCATATGCTGGAGTCAGACCAACCTGGACTGGAGTCCTTGGGTGGATCTTTTCTCTACTCTGAGCCCCACTTTCCTCCTTCCCTAAGACAGGGAAGACCCTGGACAGGTCTGTGGTGAGGGTCTCAGACAACAGACCAGTTCATCATGTGCCACTTGTCAGAAAACAGGAGACTGGAGTTTTCTTTCTCCATTTTTCACGTGTGTGCTCATGGATGCATGTTTTTGTATGTGTCTGGTCACACATGTGTGGCTATGGCTGGCTGTGCGTACACACGGAAGTCTTGGTAGCTCAAACTGCTCCCCCCACACCCCTCCTCCCAAGACAGGTTTTCTTTGTGTAGCCCTGGCTTTCCTGGAACTCGCTCTGTAGACCAGGCTGGCCTCAAACTCACAGAGATCCGCCTGCCTTTGCCTCCCGAGTGCTGGGTTAAAGGTGTGCGCCAGGCTGCCCTTTAACTCAGTTTGTAGCTGAAGATGACCCTGAACGTCCTGCCTCCACCTCCCAAGTGCCAGCATTCACTGGCACTCGCCACCATGCCCAGTTTATGGGAGATGCTGGGGATTGAACCCAGGGCTTTGTGCCTGCTAGACAAACACTCTATCAACTGAGACACATCCCCAACCCCTTGCAGGTTTTGTTTTTTATTCCAGAGAAAACCAGGTGGGCAAACGGAGAGAGGCAAGGCTATGCAAAATAGGTGTGTGGACAGAGCAGGAGACTGCAGTGAGGTCAGCCTTGACATTGGACTCGCCTAGGCTCACCCTCCTGTCTCTCCCGAGAGAAAGAACTGACTACTTTGGAGCCTCTGAATGTCATCCAGATAGACACTAGCAGGGCACTTTGTTAGACAAGGACATTTATCCCTCAGGGCACTGATTTTCTAAAGTTATTTGAACGGCAGAACTTTTCCTCCCATTGATAGCCTCTTCAGAAGCCCAGACAAGCAGAGCTGCTCGGGGGAGGCAGAGGCGGGGGCCTGAGTCCCGGCTGCTTGGTCCCTCGACTCCAGCCTGCAGGCAAGCCCCAAGGCACGGTCCCCGGAGGCCGCCAGCTGGTTTGAAGGCGTCTACCCCGAGAGTGGGTGTTAAGACTTTCGTCCCTGGAAAGGGGGCCTGAGCAGAGAGGAGGAGACCCAAAGCTGGTGGTGGTCCTGTACCTACCCCGGGTTCGGACCTCATAGGAGCTGGTTGTCCCTTTCCACCACGTGGGCTCTGGGGCAACTTAGGAATTCAGGCTTTACCCACAGAGCCATCTCACTGGCCCCAGGCAGATCTTCCTTCATCTTGGTGGCTCTGGCCTCACCAGGTGAGCACAAAGATTTGGTGTCTGAGATCACAGTACCTGGTTATGGCACAGCTGGGTCCTTTCCAGTCTTGCTTCTGCTGTGATTGCCCGTGTGGCCCGCAGCGTGGCCGTGAGCAGCAAATGAATAAATCTATGTAAAAGACTTGGGGCAAGGCCTGGTAGGCAGAGGTGCCACCCGCCCGTGACCTGTCCTGTGGCTGTTCTTAGCCCTCTCGGCGTGGTCAGTCCACGCATGCGTTCATCCATTTGCCAGCCAGCTGGTATTTATCAAGCACCTACTGTGTGCCAGGCTCTCTGCTTTGCCCTGGAATAACCAAGGCAGCCCCAGCCTTGCCCTGAGTGGGCAGGTCAAAGAGTGTGAACCGTAGCAGATCAGGCTGGCTCGAGTGGGAGAGAGTATAGGCCAGCCTGAGGACCAGAGTAACGACTGTGGAGGGTCTGGTGGGCCAGGGGTCCGAGTGTAGTAGAGACCAGGGGAGGAAGGACTTGGTAAACTCAGGCGGAGGGGTGGGGGTCGGGGGAGAGAATGTAGCGGCTTCTCCCTGTGTCTGGCTGGGGCAGCTGTCGACATTTACAGAGAGAACAGTGGAGGAGAATCAGGCTGGGAGCACAAAGAGACCCAGACTGGGTCCCGCTGAGTCTGGGCCGCCTGCTGTGGCGTGGCCAGGCTTGCAGAGCCACGTGGGAGTCCTTACCACATCACCCAACAGCAGTAACTGCCCCTGGTTGACTTCACACCATCTGCTGGCAACTTTCCAGTTGTTACTTAACTCCGGAGCATCACCAGCCTCTGGCCAGCGAGAGTCCTGGGGCAGCATGGGGAAATGTCTCGACTCCCAGGGCCACAGCCAGGTGTGTCTGTCCCTAAAGCTACATCCTCTGCAGCCTTCCCAGCAAGTACTTGGGAAGCCTAGAGCAACCAGGACAGTGTTTGCTGTGGCTCATCAAATGTCCCTTCAGGCCTTTGTCCAGGCTTCCATTCCTATGGCCTCACAGTGGGGGGAGTGGAGTATTCACCTCAAAAGCAGGGAGGCCACGGGGGTTAGTGACAGGGTGAGCCAGGGTGGGCATCCTAACAGGCTGGTCTCAAGCTGGAGAATGACTTTCGGACGGAAGACAGCACAATGCACTGGCATGTCCTGCCCCCAGCCAGGGATCCTTGGTCTTTCTCAGAGTCTGGTCCATTTATCACACCCAGTGGCCACTGCTGGGGACCATCGTTCCCTCTGTGCTGAGGATTCAGGCTCTGTCCCTCTTTTCTTTTTTAAAGATGTATTTATTTTTGTTTTATGTATATGAGCGTTTGCCAGCACGTGTATCTGTGTAGCATGTGTATGCCTGGTGCCCATGGAGGTCAGAAAAAAGGTGTCAGATTCCCCCAGAACTAGAGTTAGATAGTTGCAAGCTGCCATGTGGGTGCTGGAAATCAAACCTGGGTCCTTTGCAAGAGCGGCCAGTGTTCCAGCCCCATTTTTTCTTTTATCTTCCTCCCTCCCTCCCTCCCTCCCTCCCTCCCTCCCTCCCTCCCTCCCTCCCTCCCTTAGACAAAGTCTCATGTATCCCAGGTTGGCCTGGAACTCACCTAGCTTTCCCCTTGGGGAGTTGAACTCAGGGCCTCGTGCATGCCAGACGAGCCCTCTGCCAATGACATCCCCAGCCCTGCTAGCATCTTGCTGGCCTCCTCACCAGCTGCCTCACCTTGGGTCATTCTATGCCAGCTTGTTCACAGTCTCTACAGTGCAGGTCTGACCTTCTGCTGTTTGCTTCGGCCAAAGCCACGGGGCTTTAAGATAAAGCTTTGCTGGCCCTAAAAGGTAGACCAGACATCTTAGGTCAGCCTCGGGAGCAAGGAGATGAGCTCTGATACAGTTGTGCCTGCTCCTCATCCCGAGGGAAGTTCAAGAGCTGAGCTGGCCAAGGACATCCTCCCTGAAGCCTGCCTTGAGGCCTTCATACTCCTGACAGACACATCTTGGGCTGTGAGCTACCCCGAGGGAGCGTCAGGACCTTGGTCAAGGGCTTGTCTTCCATTGACAGAGCTGTGAGCTTCTGGCACCCAGGGCAGCTTGGGGAGCCAGTTCTCTGATTCCCAATAGAAGTCGGGTCCACTGTGGCATCCATGACAGTGACAGAAAGGTTAACAGCTGGCTGGTGAGCCCAGGCTCTAGGGGAGGGGATCCTGCGGGATTCCTGGCAAGCCACCACATCTCCCTGAGCCTCAGTTTCCCCTTTGGAAATAGTACAATATTTTTCTCTCTCACAGAACTTTGGATTAAATGGGAGCATTTGTAAGGCAGGCCATAGCACGTTGGTGCTCACTGCTAATGTTATGGTCATTGGGGTATGTGTAACAAAGGGTGTTAGGACATTGCCTGTAGAGTCAGA